CCCAAACCATTCTATGATTCTGTGATTCTTTTTGCTGGAAGAATAGTTAAGATTCACAGACATACTACAATCTATGATTGTTCACCACGCTAATTAAAGTGAATTAGAGTAGTGTAGAGTAGTGTAGAGTAGATTAGTGTATAGATGTTCATCTTTGAAAAACAGAAGAAAATCTTCCTCTTCTCCCTTCCTCCTCTCCATTAGCTAGGTGCCCCAAAATGTCTTTTTTTGTCAGTAGTCGTATCTGGAAGAGGAGTGATTGACTATAGATTGAAATTAGGATTAGAGAAGATACTTTAAAAAAAAAAAAAAAAAGAAACACCAGACTGCATTAACATTGCTGTCACTGGAGGTCTTTATGAGTAGATTAGACAAACACCTGCCAGGAATGCTTAGGGTATAAATGGTCCTGTACTGAGACAAGAAAATGAACTAAATCATCATTTCCAGTTCAGTTTTTCTAACATGATCTGATGCAGTTGATTAGAATCCTCACTGAAAGAGATAGGTGCTCCTTGCCAAGGTTGTGCTACAAGGTAAGGAAGCTTGTGTTGTTTCTGTGATAATGTAATAAAGGCATGTAGTTTCCCCTGCCATCATGTCATAAATACCAAGGCTAAATTTATACAAAAGAACACAAAATAGTGGAATTTTGAGGATTTTTTTGCAAACTAGTTCAGGCATCGTTTCATACCCTAATATTCAAAATGTCCTGATGTTACAATGACAATCTACATCTAAAAGGATTGTTGAAAACCCCGGGACAATCACCTTGAATAAAGCAGAGGATTTCTAAATACTGGCTAAACTTGCAGATTTGTCAGAGGTTAAAAAAATCAAAGAAACTTTACTGGAACTAGTCTGATGTTGTAATACTGATATTTTTCACTGTTTGCTTGTGAGAATAAGGGGGGAGGAGGAACCAAGGCAGCAACAAGAATAAACTCCAGAGGCTTGAGGGGGAGGGTAAGTTTGTACAAAGCTAAAAGGGTCAGTAGGTAGAAGGCCCCCTTACTGAACGACTTTGTAATAGTAGCTCGTTACGTAATGGACTGCAAGAGGATACTCAGGGAAAACTAAATATAGAACACCCAATATTTTCTGGAGACTTTTTTTTTTTAATGCCTTAGTGGAGTCAAAATTATTTATTTACAGCTTCTAGTTAAGTGCCTCTCAGCTTTTTTAGTCATACCTCACTTTAGTCAATTAAAAATCCTGTCTTGCCTCACTGTTGCAAGTGAGTGGCATCCAAAGTGTGTGGAGGGAGAGGAATGGTAAGATGTTTTTACCTTACTGGCTCTGCCATATGCTTCGGAGGTTGAGATGTGCTGTTCTAGAAGATCCCAGGAAAACTGTGATTTCATGAGGAACTTCTGGCTTGGATCATAACACAAGCCAATATTGTTTAATAAAAATGTACAGATTTGTGTTTTTGTGGTTGCTTTCAGCCTCATAAGCATGTAGAAGTATAAACATTCCTTTTCAAAGTACAAAGCTAGCTGGTTTCGCAGGCAATTGTTTCAAATATTGCCTGATGGATGTGGAGAGGGAGGAGGAAGGGAGGAAAGTAGCTAAAATGTTCTGAAATTAGTTTCTTCCTTAAAATTAAATCCCCTGGGATTTTTTTTCTTGCTTTTCCTCTGCAACTTCCCAGAACTCTTTCAGTGCTGTCAAATTATGTATGGTACTTATGATGTAATATGTATATTGTAGCCAATAACCAAGATTTCTGTTCTATCTTTTAATATTAAACACTGTACCATGATCTTATTTACTTATAATGTATTTCTTTTTCCCTCCTACCACAGAGCCCAGCTGACAATGTGCCTCCGTGCTATCATTAAACATGACTTTCCTGGCCATTGGACAGCCGTGGTAGACAAGATAGGCTACTACTTGCAGTCTCAGAACAGTGGGAGCTGGCTTGGGAGCCTCCTGTGTCTGTATCAGCTGGTGAAGACTTACGAGTAAGTTGATGTCCATCAGTAGATGAGGAATCGGTACTTTTAGTCTCAGCTGATTACTGAGAATGACATTCTTAATAGCACTGGCAGATCTATAAGGAATTCAGATAGAAAATAGGAATTAATAATTGTGATATGCTTCCTTTCCTGCAAATAAATCTATTTATCATCTTTATATCATCAGTGAATTGAAAGCAGAGATGCCAGCAATGATCTGTATGGATTTACTGGCATTTTTTCTTGAGGCTTTGTACTTTCGATCTGATTTAACCTATCTGTGAAAAATTTCTTAAAAGTTTATAACTTCTTTTGTTTGAAGATTCCCCAAATACTGCATATACGAATGCAAATTATTTTCTACTTTTATGTCATGAATACAGTACTGTCATTGTCATATGCTCCTAGTGCATATTGTTACCTGTACCACCTTCCCGATAGTCTAAATCCGTAAAATGTAGATTAGGAGAAGTGTAGTGAGCATTCTCACTCGTTTTTTTAAAACAATTACCTGTTGTTAGAAACATATGTATAAAGTGCACAAAAGAAATGTAAATGGAGAAAGAGAGAATCTTGTCAAAACAAAGGAATTGTCTTTTCCTTTCAATTGGTGTTTACTCCTATTTGTTCAGCACCCAGCTTGGATTTGGCATTGGTATGAGTGTCAGAGAAATTCAAGTTCTTGCTCCTGTGAGCTGACAGTTCAGTAGTACAGAACATTAGTTCTTCCTCCCAATAGCCACACTTATATAAGGTAACACTTGTTTTTAATTTCTCTGTAGGTTAGAGAATTTGCACAAATTGTTGAGGTGGGGACTAGAGAAGGGGAGAGTGAATGAGTGAGTGCTGGATATTAATTAATTTATTTATTTTTAGGGTACAGAAATTAAATTGCTGGTGGGGAATAGGCATTAGAATCTCCAGTGTGTAGATCCTAGACCAACATTTTTCTTTCCTTTGCAGATACAAAAAAGCAGAGGAGCGAGATCCTCTCATAGCAGCAATGCAAATATTTTTGCCTCGGATTCAGCAGCAGATGATCCAGCTTCTGCCTGATAACTCCCATTACTCTGTACTGCTTCAGAAACAAATCTTAAAAATCTTCTATGCTCTTGTTCAGGTTGGCATCTGTGTACAGGAAACCCAAAACTTTTACTTCGCTGGGCACAGCAATCCCCTTCCATGCACTCATGGGTGTGATTGAATAAGAATACCAGTTTGGATAGGAAAAATCACGTACAATAAATGCTTTTATAAAAAATATGATCCTTATAGATTTTTCTACTTAAAAACTGGTCACACAATCCCTCAGATTAAATTTTTAATGAACCTAGGTACTTCTGCACATCCTGCCTGTAAGCTTACTGGAGAAATGTTCCTATTTTTATAAAGTCACACATAACCTGATAGAAACTATATGAGTATCTAGATCTATGCTGCTTAGCCTCTGAAAGTGACAGTAGTGTAGATTGTAGTGTAATTGTCAGATAAGTGCGCTTAAGTAGGTGGCGTTTCTCATTATCTTCTGAAGATTTGACAGAAAATATTTATTGAGGCACATGCATTTAACAGAGATGAGTTTAGCTTTTACAGGATGAGTTTGGTGAGGAAATACTTTCAGAGAATGAGAAACAAAACTAGATCCTAGATAAGGAGTAGTCTGAAAATTCTTATTGGGGATTAAAAAGCTAAAATAGGTTGTTATTAGATGGGAGGAGGATTAAAAAGATCCCATGATCCTATTTTACTTTCCAATAGCTTACCTCGATATTTCCACTTTGCTTTGGGTTTTTAGACAAGTAAGATTTACTAGATGGTAACTAGGTAGTAATTAGGAGTACATTTCACTTACTAAAATGTTCTTGGTGTCCCCAAACCCTGTAACGCTTGGACCACACTGCTGTGGTCCCTAAAAGTTAACTGGACTATTGTGAAGAAGAGGAAAACCAGAAAGAAATAGCAAGTTTTTCTGAGGAACTTTCCTCAAATAGTGTCTGCTCAGAAATTCCTCTGTAAATTGTACCAAGAAGGATACAGTTAGAATGGTATTGATATCTAACCTAATTAGTTTTAGTTTTACTTAAAAACTCATCTTCCTGGGAATGTAACTACTGTAGAAACATGTCTTTTTCAGAAAGAATTAGTATTTCATTACAGTGGGTTTTTTTCTTACTTCAGTACGCATTGCCGCTCCAGTTGGTGAATAACCAGACTATGACTCAGTGGATGGAGATCTTCCGTACTATCATTGACAGAAACGTACCTCCAGTAAGTTTTGGTTTTGTGAAGACCTCTGATACTTGTGTGTTGTCATTTGAGGAACAGTCAGTGGGAAGATTTTCTAAGTGTTCTTTTTTTTTTAAGATGTCATTTAAGATTCATATCCTTGGAATTAGTGGTGTTTCTGACAGAAATGCAGGAAGATCATGTAAGCTGTCAGAGTTTCATTGTCTGAGGTAGTGATACTGTGTAAACTCCAATATGGGCCATTTTGGAAGTTGCCAAATATTTTAGCCAGTTTCTCTCACCTGAGAATCAAAAGATTATCACAAACCCATCGTTTGTCTCCTTTCCTCTGTTTCTTTCATCTATCCTTCATATTTCTTGAAGAACAGAATAAAAATAGTAACTATAATTCTTGTTTGTATGTGTACAACATTAACTGGCATTTCCTAAGGGTTTGGGTTTTCTTTTTTTTTTCCAGAAATTTATTTCACAACTTTAACATTGTTTTAATGGCTTTTCCATTAGTACATGGTTGGGGTGTGTTTATTCGGAGGAGTTAATATCATGCTTAATTTTAAGCCAGAATGCACTCCATTGTGTAGTATTCAGGGCTATATGAGAGTGTCAGTTTTTTAAATATGCATAAATTTGAAGATTAAAGTACAGGCATTATACAAGTATTGCACATATACAGTTCTATTGACTAAGTAAGATCTTGAAAGTTCCTGAATCTTATATAACTGTTAACAGAAACAAAGCTTTAGCTGATGCTGTGCATTTGTATTAGTTTACTTGGCAAGGAATGCTTAAAGCATCATTTCTTTCAACAATACACATAGCTAATTTAGAATAAATGTATTTATTTATAGGAGACTTTGCAAATTGATGAAGATGATAGACCAGAGCTGGTGTGGTGGAAGTGCAAGAAGTGGGCATTGCATATTGTAGCTCGTCTTTTTGAACGGTAATAAACTAACAAACTGATTAAAAACTAAGTTGGGGTTACGCATCTGTAACACTACTTGAGGAGCAATTAGACAAGACAATTTAGTTGATTTAACAGCTCATGATCACTGAGGAGGTAT